ATATCGTCCAAGCCTATGATTGCATGCCTAGCTGTGTAACTTGCTTTGCCACAAATTCATGAGCACGGTATGATTTGTTCAGCTGTTTCATGGACTATTTTACACTTTAATGGACATGAGCGAGCAATACTTAATGCCTTCTTTAAAAGGTGCCCCGATTGAAGTCAAATAGTTTTCCCTTGAAACCTATCATTAATATGTTGTTAATTCCTTGCAGTTTTCATCATCTGTCTTCATCTAAAGCTCAGAAATAATTAGCAGCAAGACGCAAATTATGAAATAATATGTTTTGCTAGTCAAACCGAGCCGTTATTTTGTTTGTATTACACGAAAAAGTTATGTTCAGCTTAGTAAAAAGTCATTACAGGACAGTTACATTTAATATTTATCAACAATCATAATGACAAACGGCCGTTTAGAAAACCTGTGTTCTTTTGCCGTGTAATTGCATTCTAGGCAAACTATAAATCACGCATGACGAGGGAAATTACTGCGTTGCAATTATTTGGTCATTACCTTGAAAATCAAAACCTAGCCTAAGCAAACCAATATGATTTGGAAAGCACTTCTTCGCCAATTTTTTTTTTCTCGAATTGAAGAATGAATGTTTTCCGAAGGAATACGATTATGATTCGTCTTTGGTCCTAAAGCCATGGCCCATGTGGCTGTCTTGGTGGCAGGTTAGCTCGTCTTTCAAGGTGTGTGCCATGAAACCATGTAATTGGTCGTTGGCTATCTCCGTAAGCTTCCATCATCAACACTTTGTAATGAAACCGGTGCAGTGAAGTGAAAGGATCATCCCATAAAGCAATATCGGAAGAAAATGGAAGACTCTGGTCATAACTGATTCTTCCATACTTTGGAAGACTGTTCCTAAAGTCTCCTTTTTTGTGTCAGCGTTGGTATTTCTTCAACTAACGAAGGTTAACATTGGTTTTATTGGAAGTCATGTATGCATTCCTCTATTTATTCTAAACTTTTTAACTGATGTGTACTCATATACATAGTACCTCAAAAGACGTAAACTATTATGTCGACACGATGCATTTCTCGCATCTTGGAGGGACAAGTTACCTCAACAGTTAAACACATTTTTATTCCCTGGCAAATGAAAGTGTCAGTAGGTACCTATATTCTGCATGTTTTTGTATTTTAACAATTACTTGAAAATCCGTTAATCTGAATCTTTAATCGTCCACGCTGACGTCATGAAAGCCCTGCAATTCTAAAAAAACTCAATTGAACGCCTGCAAGTAGTTGAAGCAAAGCGGCAACAAATTCTTTTCGCCGTGTGAGAGCGACATAGAACAATAGCGTGGCCGCGACTGAATGGATTCCTAACAAGACCTGAACACGATACGGGTGAGCTGTTCACTCGGCTCGCCAATCGCGCCTGCCTACTGATCGTGTTCGTCAGAGTAAACGGCTCCCCAAAGCCGCTAAATACGAGCGATAAGATCTCGCAGCGCTGGGTGGGCTTTCTCACGTATATGTGCTCCAGTGGTACGGATTGATAATTCTGCAGGGCCGTGATTGCCCAGTTGGGGCTGCGGAGCTCCTTTGGGGGAAGTGGGACAAGGTCGAACTGCAGCCACACGGGTTACACCAAGGCTGCTCAGTGGTCTCACATTGGTGTCACAAGCTGAATCAGTAGCTGTGTCCCGGGATTGTGGTGATAATGGATAAAACGGATTCAATTAGTGTCGATGATAGCGATTACGGCAGTATTCAACATTTCACGTCACTATACTGACACAGATACAAGACCCATGCTCAGGACTGCAGGAAACATTTACGGTACCTCAAGCTGGCACTGTTGAGGTTTAGTTTGGGATACTAAATCAGCGCAGGAAACTTAAAATAATAATGACGGGGAAAACAATCATTTCTTGGGTGAGTAACGCCAGTCACCATTACTGCAAGCTGTCCAACACACACAAATGTTTATAGACCGCCTTAGACTAGGTACTGTATTACATAGATCCAGAGTAGTCTATGTTACTGTATCGTGTTATGTAGTTGCGAGCATGCATGATAGAGGAACAATGAAACAATGTATGTAGTGAGTCTTGTGCCTGGGATTGGCTCCTAATTAAAAAATATTTTTTCACTTGCCATTGCTAATAATTGACAGCTGCAAATAATTTACGGATTGTGACATTTAATTAAAGCCTCATTACAGGCGCATAACTAAGCTACTGGGCTAAAATTTCTATCCTTGCCCCAGATTACTATCCACTTATGCTGACTTCCCTCCAATTTGTTCCCAGTAACTGAAGCGTGAAACTCGCGCTTAGAAACAAAGAAACCCAGCGGAACCACGAAGGGCGCTGCTACAAAACACTTTGTCGTATGCGTGAGACATGGTCGTGGTCACGAAGCGTGCACTCTGCCCCCAGACCGGGCTCGCCGTATCTCGTGGCACAAAGGAGTGACCTTTGAACACGCTGTGACAGGGGCGGTGACTATGCACGCTCCGTGAAGGGCAGCGTCAGCCAGGGCTCGAAGAATGTCACCAACCGCATCAGCTGGGCGAGGGACGGGATGACCGGGGACCCTATAACATGGTTGACCTAGCCTAGGACGAATCAAGATATAAATAGACAAGCAGGCGAGGTTGGGCAATAGGACTGGAAGCCAGTGGCAGCGATATTAGTAGCAATTTTAAGTTTCCAATGCAGGAAAAAAATGAAAATTGTTTTTACAGCTAACAGTGTTGCTAAACAAGCCATTGTTGCTCGTTTCCTACGCCATGGTAACCGTCTGAATTTCACTTTTATTATATTGTCTAGGAAGCTCACTAGGCATCTCTGAACGAATGCGGTTTAGATGAACTTTCCTGCTATTTGAAAATCCTGTTGCATGGCCCAGGCTTTATGCCCCACAAAAATAGTATCATTTAGATGTGCATTTTAAGAACAGACATCCAACTCTAAAACTCTACCAACTTGAACTCGATTCGCCAATCAATTACCGAGGAACGATTAAAAACGAACTGCAGCAACGCTGTACGAAGGAAAGGTTGATACCTCATTTAAAGAAACATAGCTGGACTTAGCTTGCTGTTGCTCCATATATTTGTGTGATTTCTGAGTAGGAATATTGCTTATTGTTTAATATGAACCAGACTATAATGGCTTCATATGGATTACCGTAATCACAGCAATCCAAATATGTGCATGGATCCGGGAAAATGGATCTGGGATCTGATCCCACAGATCCTGATCTCGGATCCGTCGGAATCATAGATCCAACTATTCAATTTATCGAGAGATCCGTAGGGATCATAGATCCGAGTCTAGTATTTTTACTTGAGATCCAGTGGGATCATAGATCCTCATTTATTTTCGGTCAACACAGAAATCCCAAAATATCACTCGCTGCAATTCACAAACGTTTTTATTCAGTGATTTTATGTGATAACACGTCATAATCCATAGTTTTATGGCACTTATTGACATAGAAACACTTGGAAACCTGGTTACAAATGTTGTGCATGGTGGGATCCACTCAGATCATAGATCCATGTTCTTGTTTTATCGTCAGATCCTGTCAGATCATAGATCCAGGAAAAATTTTTCATACCGGATTCGGTGAGATCATAGATCCGAGCCTGCAATGTCCCTCGAGATCCACTGAGATCATAGATCCATCACTCGGATCCATGCACATGTTTGGCACCAACAGTTTTTTTTACGACGGGCTGAGCTGAGTATCTACCCACGACGTTGAATTACTTCCCTGTGAAATTACTGGTCTTTCCGTCACCAGCAGCTTCGGCCACTGGGGGCATCGTTTGCCGTTCGCTTGAACGATGTTCTGAATAGACGACCGTGTGACCGACGGCGGCGTCGGCTCCCCGGTGCGGACCCCCGCCCACCCGCCGCCCAGAAAGGGCTCCCAGCTCCAGACACCGCCGACCATCCGCTTATATGGACGTCATCCATTTCTGTAAATTACAATTATCAACATGGCCTGGATAGCCGGTCAGTTCAGAGCGAATTAACGAGTGACGGGAGCGGACGGCTGAGCGGCACGTGATGGACGGCCGGCCGGCGCTGCCGCCTGCAAGGTGGCGCCCTGCTGCGCCGCAGTGTCGCGGTGACTGCGTCGGCGGCACACGCGCCTATCTCGGACGGCCGTGACGGCGCACTCGGCCGCCGCGGAGACAAAGCCACCGGCGGCGGCGGAGCTCCTGATCAATAGCACCGTCCGACAGACAGAGCGCCGCTAATGGAGAGCAGACGCCGCCGACGCCGACGGAGACGACACCAAAGCCGAGCGCGGTGGCGGTGGTGCGTGGGCACGGGAGGAGGCTCAGCGGCGGCGGCGAACCTAAATCACCGGCTGAGCTGCCGACCCGGACAGCTCAGAAGCCCGCCGGGCAGCCCAGGCAGCCGCCGCTCCGAGCGTAGCCGGCTTATCCGCGCCGCATCGGCCGCGACGCGGCAAATCCGCCGCTTCCGTTGTCGGCGGCAGAATCGGCGCGGCGCCCGTGTGGCCCGGCGCGCGGCAATCAATGCGTGTCGGCGGCGGCGCGGCTCCCACCGAGAGGTGGCGCTGCCAGCGCGAGAATGGCCGCGCTAGGCCCCGCCCCCCGGCGCCGACGCGCCACTGAGCGGCGCCGGCGCCGCCCCTCCCCGCGCCGCCCCGCGCCCGGCGCCACCACGGTCACCGCCAGGTCAACACCCAGCCAACAATGCACCCACCACCGTCACACACTCGGATTTCGGCCAGGTCGCGAATTTCAGCGCCCCGGGCGGTGACCGGTATTTCGAGCGCGCCCGCGGGCGGTGTCCGGGTAGCCTGCGGCGGCGGTGGCAGTGCCTGGGGCGGGAGGGGGGAGTGGGGCGGGGTGGGTCGGCGGCCGGCCGCCACCTGCCGGCTCCCGAGGCGGTGACACTGACACGGCCGTGTCACGTCCCGGACAGCGACGGCAGCGCGGCGCGGCGCGGCGCGGCGCGGCGCGCTCCCTGCCGGCAGTCGGCGGGCAGCGCGCGGCAGCCGCATGGCGCAGCGGCCGGCCGCCAGTCGGACACCTCCAGCGCGGCGCGGCCCACGCCTCGGCGCGCTCCCATTGGTCGACGGGTGTTACCTCGACCAATCGCGGCGAGTGTCAGCTGATTAGCGCTGCGGCGAGGCCGGCGCACGGCTTTTGACACTCGCTAGTGACTGGAGTGCTGCCTCTGAGGAGGGACGTGTCCGCGCGCTCCGCTGTCGGCGCCGCTCAGTGCTGTGACCGCGCCCCGGACTGGGACTCTGCCGCCGGAGGAGGACTCTACTGGACTCTGCCGCCGCACCACGACCCTGGCCGACCAGCGCACGGCGCCCGGCGCTCACCAGCGGCTCACTGCTCTAGCTGATGGTTCCCGCTTGCGGGCGGCCGAGGCTTCCATGAGATTCGATCAGTCGGACATCCGCGCTCCCGAGATGGCCTACCCGCCGTTCATGCGCCACCCGGACTTTTCAGCCGGCTCGTTCCTGACGCCGGGCCAGTACTTCCCGGCGCTGCCGCCGCACGTGCCGTACCCGCAGTCGCTGCTGCCCAAGATGCCGCCCGGTCTGGGCGGTCACCCGTTCGGCGCGGACGACGTGCTGGGTCACCAGGGCAGCCTGCGGCCGCCGCGCTGCCTCCAGCCCGAGGACGACGGTGTGGTGGACGACCCCAAGGTGACGCTGGAGTCCAAGGAGCTGTGGGCGCAGTTCCACAAGCTCGGCACCGAGATGGTCATCACTAAAAGCGGCAGGTGAGTGCCTACCGGGGTGTCAGCGCGCAGCGATACTAGAGTGGAAAGACAACTAGGATTTTTAAGATAGCTCACACTTGTAGATTGATGCCGTTCTAGCCTAGGTATATGTAAAAAATCTTAAACAAAAATAAAAAAGAAATGTCTCATTGAGTGAAGTTAAGAAGTGAGAACGCAAAATTGTATTGCGGGTATATAATATTTTCTAGGTAACTTATAATATAGGATACCTAATATTATTATCAGACTAGATCCCATATTTTACCTTGCTTAGTGAGGGTTACCACGGTATATCGGAATTAATTTGTACTTTATTTGAAAAGGAATTTCAACCCTTCAGTAATAAACACCTAACGTCCAAATTTCGTGAAAATTAAAATGCCGTTTTAATGGCAAAATATAATCTGATTGCGCGGGCCACAGACACCACACGAGGAGGCGAACTCTGAATAATTTTCGAATTTTTATCAACTTTTGCTCGTAGAATTAGCCGCAGCGTTCGAAGCTGCTAGCTTTGTGGGCCCGTTAATGATTTTGATAGGCATCAGAATTTAAAAACGCATGGCTCACGATGTGAACCGATAAACCACCAAAGCTTCAACCTATAAATGGCAGACCGGTAATGCCTACTAAGGAGGTAACTGGTACGCTGAAATGTTTCAGAACTCTTGGTCAGGGAAATAATGTTGCAAAACTTCAATGCAAAAGAATATAAACGTTTATCCACAGCGGTGGCATCTTACACTGTTATTTATAGTTCGCATTTTTATAAATGCAACTTATTACTGGGGTAAAATATTAATTTAACAATTTCATTTTGTTGCTGGTAAACTTGAAATGCTAAGAGGTTAGATATAAATAATTGTATACAGCTTTTCACAAAGTGTTACGTCTATTATTATTGTTTTCCAAGGAGCATAACATTTCCAAGCCTCCTTGTTTCTTCCCTGCATTTAAAATCGATAAAATTTGGAACGGTCAGAAATTTCAAATATTGTGCCAGCCGTCTGCGTGATGGTCCGCTCAGGAAATGTGGACACGGTCAAGGAACATAACAACAATGAACTGCAACATCAGTCAGTTTATCATCCGCTTTCTTGCAACTTCTTTTAGGCTTAGTACATTTTATACTTGTGCGCAGTGTGCACATAATTTGTTTTATGGCTTTGGCCTTTGGCATGCTGTCAAAATCACACATCAAGCAGAACACTTTTAAGATCACACCATTGTACTTTTAAGGAAACGACACAGCCCGGCGAGACTCGTGTGCCTGATATTGGAAAGATAGCCGATATCTTGTTTGGACCAAATTGACCGGGTATTACGGCATGCATCACTCTATCAATATTGAATCTGCATGCAAGCCATGTCAACCGCAATGATAGCCAATAGCCATCGCGCAATAGCCGAGACATAAAGAAACACCGGAGCGCTGTGGAGGCGTCGCTGTCGTGTCGTGGACCGATCCAGCGCCCTGTCTCGCTCCGTGAATGGGGCGGCCGGCCCGTGTCCGTGAGTCCCGTGAGGCGCCGGGCCGGGATCCCCGCTCGGCCGCCGTGACCTGTGTCGGCCGGCGGCGGCGGCGGCGGCGGCGGCCCACGAGCCGCGATTGCCGACGGTCACCGCCGTCCGCCAATTACGGGGGCGATCTTATCGCCGGTCTCAGTGTCGCCGCTGTGGGCTGACCCGGCGCCGGGTGTCGGGACGTCGGCGGGGGGCGCCCCCACCCGGCCAGGGGCCAGTGCGCCCCTCACAGGGGCCGCCGGACCCGCAGACAGGCGCCAGGTAGTCGCCGCCCGGCCCGGCCGGCCCCGATCGGCCCGACCCTCTCACTCCCCGACCGCTGCGCTGGGACAGTGGGACAGTCTTCCTGTGGCCGTTGGGACAGCTATCATATCGCAGCTGGGACAGACACCCTTGGTCACTGAGGCAGTCTGATGTCTCCTTAGCCCACTGGGACAGTTCCCCTATGGTCACTAAGTCTCCGTACGAGTACAGTGGATGCTGGGACAAAGTGCCAAGGCCTTACTGCCGTGTTGGCGCCGCCGCCTCACTACTGCCGCGCTACTGTCCCTTTTTACACGGCTGTCCCTTTTTGTCCCCGACTGTCTCCTCCCGGGAAGCTGTCCAGAGCTCGCCCTGTCCCCGCGGAATCGACTCTGGTTGTCACCGGGTGGCGGCGGCCGTCCCGTGGACCGTATTTATGTACCCCTGGAAATGAGCCAGTGGCTAGCCCACCATGGGCGCATAATTTTACGAGCCTAGAAGTCGTTTGGGTTTAGTTCGGACTGGTTTAACAGCGCCGTCAAGTGAACTTGTTTGCTGGCGATTTTGTGGAGTCGAGTCGACCCTGCCAAGTGCTGGGCCGCGGAGGGTCCTCTGATGGTTTTCGCAGACGTGGAACGAATATTATATTATGCCTAATGCACGTTGTCGTATGGCGTTTTATGGGTTAATTCTGCAGCCCTGTCTTCGGTTAGCTTAGCTGGTGTATTGCTGCAGTGCACATCCACCTTTGGAGGTTTCATTTTCATTGTGATTTATTAATTTTGTATGGAGCCGTTTCATGTTTTAGTGTTGACTTTATCGGTCCTGTCATGCTTACACTCGCTGTGTGCTAATGGCATTAAATGGCAAAAACATGACCTAAAGCATTAGACGCAACGAGGCGGCGAATGCAATAAACACAGCACGGCCCGTAACCTTTCCTCGTAGCTCGGTAGCCGGTTGGTATAATTCAGGTAGCCGAATGTCACTCTCGGCCTGGGAAAATGCCTCTTGGAGCGGCGGGAAATGTTGTCTGTACCAGCCGCAGCTGTGCCGGACAGTCGTTCCGTGCCGGGCCCGGCCGTGACAATGATGTCACCCTGTCTGCCGCGGCGCAGTGCTACACGACACACTACGGGCACCGGTAATTGAGAATAATCCACCACTTAGCGACCAGCTCAGTCGATATATGTACAGAGAAACCGGTCTCATAGAGCTGAACGTTGTCGAATTTCCTGCTGATGGCCACCTCCTCGACAGCCACAGGGAACAAGCTGCGGTCTTAGTCAGACTCGTATAATCCGCAGTCGCAGTATAATGGCAATCACTGACTGTCCCAGACAGTGACAGTAGCAGTCGCAGTGGCAGCTACATTCTCAGGCAACGACAGTGACAATGTGTCACAAATGCAGCCGCAGGTATTGTCTCAGACAGTGACTGTCCTGCTTCAACAATAACAGGTGACCACCAGCCGTGTTCAGCGATTCGCTCCTTCTTTAATTCGGGCACAGTTTCGCTGGCGTGCGGCTCGCGGCCGCAGTCCCATAGCGCTCCAATTGTTTTGCAGCGAACATGAGGTGCCAGTCACGAGCGGTCGGTTGGCCAGCCGGACCTGCGGCTGGCCCGGCCGGGACCCGGCGCGGCGACACGCCAGCAGACAAACATGCACCGGCGCCCGCGCCGCGCACCGGCCGATTGACTCACATTTAATTAGCACGTGCCCGCCGCGTCTGCGGTGCGCTGGAAAATTATTTACACGGCCTGCAGCTTCAATTACTTTGTGCTCGCTTTGTGTCACGTTGAATACTTTGTGGTGGAGTTGCCTTGTTTCAGTCTAATTTGTACGTCTGTGGTAGTCAACATGTTTTCGTTATGTGCATTATGTGAACATATCTGTCTGGGGTCGACTCCACAATGGGCCTAAATGGCTTATTTGTTGTGAAGCATGTTGTTGATATCAGAATCTGATGTAGGACAATGGAGGAGCTGAATCATGACAAATGATGTACTATGTAACGACTGACGTCACTTGCTCATAAAGTGGAGCCATTAAAACATTTAGGCCACTCGTCTGTGTCTGTAAGAATAGGAAAAGAAGTGTTAATGTTTATGCATCAGTAAACCAGTATCAATTTGATTGTTCTCCTTCATTGTTTTCCCCATTTGACATAGAATTAATACCACATGGAGTGACGGAACTCTGAAGCATTATGCGTAATGCAGTTGCTATTGCTTCCGCCAACGGAAAGCAAAGCTCATAATTGATACAAATTCAAATCCACACTTTCTTCACTAGGTCCCAGGTCTCTGAGGGCGTCACGCCGCCGCTCGCGGACCGTTTGTGGGCGGTCGTCGCCGGCGACACGGCACCGGCCGCCACCGTTTGTTCTGGGGTTTCGCGACGCCTCCGCCGCGCCGTCGGAAGCCGTAAAATCGACCGAGCACCGCCGGCCGCGTCGGCTGCGACGGCTCGTAAAGTCGAGCCCGACGCCCGCCAGACGGTCGGCCGTCGGCACAGGGGCGCTGTCCTGCGGCCGCGGACGTGTATCGGACGCCATCAATTGTGGAAAGAAACACCGCGGGGCACCGGCATGTCTTGGGTCAACCGGTGCGTCGGCAATAGCTCTTTGTGCATACGTCATTGACACTGATCAATAGGCTCACTGTAATTTGTTAAAGATCACCATTGTATAGAAATTGCATCACTAGATGTCTCCTACCAGCTAACATACATATCATTACCTTGTCCTGTAGCCTTGCTGTATTACAAGGGACCCTGTCCGTCCGTCTAGACTGGCGTCAGACCCAGACGGTGGCACAGTCCCGTCTGTCTGTCTGTCTGTCTGTCTGTCTGTCTGTCTGTCTGGGTGGCGGATAGGGGTGGCAGGCCGGCACCTGACCGCGCCCCGGGCCCGGCCACGCGCTCTAAACCCACCAGAAAGCCTCGAAAACACTCATTTACATTTGCTGTGGTGGCCGGGCGGTGGCCGGGCGGTGGCCGGGCGGTGGTCGGACGGTGGACGGGCGGTGGACGGGTGGTGGTCGGACGGTGGGCGGATGGTGGGCGGATGGTGGCCGGGCGGTGGCCGGGCGGTGGCCGGGCGGTGGCCGGGCGGTGGCCGGGCGGTGGCCGGGCGGTGGACGGGCGGTGGACGGGTGGTGGTCGGACGGTGGGCGGATGGTGGCCGGGCGGTGGGAGGTCGGTGGCTGGGCGGTGGCCGGGCGGTGGGAGG